TGGGTTTTTGGCATCTAGGAAAAAAGCTTCAGATCATATGAGTAAAAGATATAAAAATTCTACCTTCTGGTCTGTCATTTGGGTTTTTGACATGATTGTGAGAGGTGATAAGAGAAAGAAAATTCTAGTATGGTTGAGGCGTCAAGGCAACAGCATTAGAGAGAAACAGAAAGTGTAAAAGAGAAAGAAAAGAAATGAAGGATTTATTTTTGGAATTTTAGATCTTTATAAAAAGAAAAAGGATAAATGAGTAATTGAAATAATTAAAATACAAAATATTAATAATATTTATTTATTTTAATATTTAATTATTAAATTTTAAAATTTTCTATCGGTTTGGGTCTTAAAATTCAAGACAAAAATTGACTAATCAAACATAAAAAACTGAACCCTAAACCAATTTAATCTATTAAACTGACAAAATCGAAACCAATTTACTTTGATGATCAATTTTTAAGTAATTTTTTCGATTAATACTAATTGTTGCTCTTCCTTATTGGGGGCAAGTATGAATGACAATCTATTTGAGAAAATTTAGAACCAAAGTTAAGGACAAAGAAAGAATGTCTATAGTTAAAAGGCAATCGTGAAGTAAATAGAGTTCTAAAATTTTAAACTAAATTTGTCAAAAAGTGAAAGCATGCAAGAAACAATGAAAAAAAGTATGAAACTGAAAAAAAAAAAGAGAAAAAAGATGAAAATGCATGTTTTGTGAAGTGGAAACAACATATGTTTTTGGGAAAAAAAATGATCTTTAGTTTGATTACTTTTAAAAACATTTTTGGCCTTATTTCCTTTCTTTTAGAACCCTAAACCCTAGCTTATATTATGTCATTTAAAAAGTCCATTTTGATCAAGTGTGGATATTTAAATTGAAGAAATTTTTTTTAGGAAATCACCATCACCTTTTGATTTTGGAGGAATTTTTAATTTTCAAATGCATAATGAAAAAGTAAAAAGAAAAAAGAAAGAATAAAACTCTATGGTGAAAACCTGGAAAGACAATCTAAAGTAAGATTGGATTCTGAAAATAACTTATGCAATTACATGCAAAGTGAGAAGTAGTAAATGAAGTCATTTTGAATGAACAAACAAGCATTAGAAACCTTTGAGAAACCCAAAAAGATCAACCCTATTTGAAAATTTATTCTAAAATTTAAGCCTTTCTTTCTTTCCTATAAATTTTGAGTCTATCATAACTAACTTTTATATTTATTAAAATGTCACATTTTAAGAATCTATGGGAGTGCCAACATGAATTGTACTTTAAAATAAATAATTTTTTTAATAAATTTGAACTTTGATTTGTGAATCTAGATGAAGAAATATTGATATTCCTTTTCTCATTCAATGACAAAGTATTTTTTAGTAACTCAAATCCTAATATGCCAAACCATTTCATCTTTTTAGAAAGACCAAGATGCAATTCACCTAATTCATTATAGTTAGTAATCACCAATTTTCAAGAGATTTAAATGTTACATGTTTTTAAAGAATTGATACATTTTGATCATGAAAAATTGTTGTGTGGGGTTTTTTTATTTTTTATTTTGGGGTAATTTTTGTTGCCATTATTTTCGAAGCTTTTGAAAAATATTCAAATTTAGTTTACTGCATATATAAATTTTGGTGGATCGGGAGAAAGATAATTTCCAAGTCAACATGACAAGAGTAACCTTTTTTGGGCAACAAAAATGCTTTGTTTTCATAATCGCATTTGCAACATTTAGTGAATGTACAAATAGTTGTTTTGATAATTTGATATACATAATTGTTTGGGCTATGCATTTGCGTTATTTGATAAGAATTTAAATCATTATTTTTAATATTACATGATTATTTGTATCACGCATTTGTATCATTTGGTTGAGTTACTATGGACATCAACTATGATAAACTTTTTTTGAAAAATTTATATCATAGATTTAAAAAAAAAAAAACTAAAGCAAAGAAAGGATAAAAAATCAAATTCAAAAGTGATGTTGACATTTTCGTTAATATCTAACTCTTAAAAAAATCAAATTAATAAAAGAAAAATAATTTAAAAAAGAAAAGTATTTTTAGTAATAAATATCAAATGGGCCCCATATAAAAATTTTAGATATTTAAAAATATTGATTAAATAAAAAAAGATAAAAAATGTAAATAAAAAAGAAAAAAGAAAAGGAAAAAAAGAATCAAATTGCTTCACACGACCTTGTTATTGAGCGAGCAAAAAAATCTAAAAGATAATTTATTGAATATATAAAAAATAGAAAAAAGTAAAAGTAAAAAGCAAAAAGAAAAAAAAACACGTGGTAAACCATTAGTATCAAACGGGTTTAACACAAAAAATTGAAATCTAAAAAAAATTATTATATTTTTTTAAAAAAGTAAAAACAAAAAATGACACTAAATGAGTCTCACACAAAAAAAAAATCATTAAAAATATTTATTTAATATAAAAAAGTAAAAAAAAAAAAAGAAAAGAGGTGCTAAGTGGCTCTTTTTTAATTTAAATATATAAAAATATATGTGTATATATATATATATATAATCAAGCCACAACATGTATACATTAAAATGTATAAGAGTTATTTATAGAATTTAATTTAATAACATACCTATGTTATATTGATAGAAAAAGTTACTCTATAAATATTGGCTTTCATTAAAAAAAAAAAAAAACATGATTAATATTTATTTTTATTCCATAGAAGAAAAGTGTAGAAGAAAGGTTTTAAAATGATGAATGCCAACAAAAGAAAAGTAGCATACGTCGAAGGCATAATGTGTTAAGGGTAAAATAGTTTTTTTACTTGAAAATATATCAAGAATTTTTAAGGTATTTTAATCTTTTGGTCAGTTTGAGTGTTTTTGTCTTTTGGCTGATCTACCGTGTTAAACCTATTACAAGGGAAACTTCTCTCATACGCGGTTTAGATTTTCAGATCCACACCTCCCGTTGTTGCCAACGTGAACAGCCACCTCATTTCACGTTGTTCCCACTTGACCAAGCTGACATGTCATTTTACTCCTAGAAACTATTAAACCACATCAGTCCAGATTTATCTCACGTTAGGTCGAGCTTTGGGCATTTAAGCTCTGGTATAAATAGTTCTCCCTCCTCAGGTAGGGTAAGCCACTCATTCATTTTTCATTTCCTTCAACCATTTGCCATCCCTTATCTTCTTTTCCTCTTTTATTCACCGACTTTTGCATTAGAATACAAATATCGAAATCACTTTTAACTTTTATTTATAATTATCATTAAACTTGATAATTTTATACAATATAAAAATAATATATATATTTTATGTTTATTTATGTCGATACGAATTTTGATATGATATAATTCATGATTTATATATGTTGACACGTTCAAACATATTTAAGATACGAAAAATACGTTTAAATAAAACGTATTATATGAATACACGTTTAATACGTGACATGATATAAAAAATATGTTTAATTTTATTTTATTATACGATTTCATATTTAATATGTTTAACATGTTTTTATATTTATTTTAATTTAATATAAACATATAAAGATTATTTTAAACATTTAATTATAATATTTATTTAATAATTATAATAAAATTATTTTTATATTAATAATATAAATACAATATAAATATTAATATTAGTTCTATACATCATTATTTTATTCTTTAATATTTAATAGTTCATCATTTTGAATTTATATTAAGAACTAATATAGTTATATAATGTATATTAAAATTTAAATATATATATTAAATACATATTAAATATGTATCAAATTTTTTATTTTTTTTAATATGCATGTATTTTTTTATATTATTAATATGTCAAGTTTATTAAGTTATAAATGATGGATAATTTATAATTATTTATTATTTTAATTATTTTTTTATATATATTTGTGTTAGTCATGTCTATTCATATATATACGTATTAATCATATATATTCATGTATATTTATATTATTTGTATTTATTCATTTTGTTTTTAAACGAATTAATTATATATATATTAATCGTATTGTGTCGCGTATAACATATATAATAAACGTATCATATTTATGTTTAAAATTTAAATATATTTTATAATTTATGTTATGTTTATATTTTAATAATTTGTGTTATTATATGTATCAAATATGACACAAAACACGATATAAAATTATGAATTTTGAAATCTAACTGTCATTCTTGCTTTCAGATGCCGTTTTGATCCCAATTTTTCACACGAATAGGTGCTATTATCATCACATAATTTAATGTATAATTAAAAAAATTCATAGACAATCCTTTTTTTATAAAGAAGCTTACAGTTAAAAGAGATTACATATTCGAATTAGTATTTTTAGAATAACAAATTAAATTTATTACTCATCTTTAGATATTTAGATATGAGGAATTTTAATATTATACTTTTAATTTGATGAAAAAATAATCAAAAGTTTGGTAACAAAATTATTTTATGAAATATAATTTGAACCTTATCTCTTTATAAATTTATAAGTGTAAAACATTATTGATTTTAATGTATTTTATATTAAAATATTAAAATTTTTAATAAAATTGATTCTTATGATTTTTAAAGTAAAAAAATAAAAAATTATGAAAAATAATTTTAAAATATAAAAATAAAAATATTAGTTATTCATAAGAAAAAAAGAAAACATAATTTTGAAATATCTAAGAAATAGATGAATAAAATGGAAAAGATAAGTAATTTATTTAAGTTTTTAGATTTTCTTAGAATAAGAATAGGCGAGAATTGGAAGAAAAATAATGATAAAAAAAAAAAAAACAAAGAAAAAGAAAGAAAGAAAGAAAGAGAAGGTTGCATTGCACGTGAAAGTGCCATTTGGCTGTGCGAGGTATCATGGTTTCCAATGGGGACAACCCCACGAGTCATAAGTATCACTTTTACCAAATTTTACAAAGAAAACAAAAAGAATTCGGGCCAATTAAAACACTTTGCTACTTATATTAATATAAAAAAAATTAAAAATGTTTTGGGCATTTAGTTTTTTTGGGACTTGCTCTTTTTCTCTTCTCCAAAGCTTTGTTCATCTGCAAATGCACACGCTCTCATTCTCCATTTTCCCCAAATCCAAGTAAGCTTCCCTTTTTTCTCTTTTAAACTCTTCCTTTCAGTTTTTACCTACTTTGTTTTTTTAAGGTTTTCTTTTTTTCTTGTTGTTGACAGTTGCTTTTCTGCGTTCTTTTTTTTATTCTCAGTCTTTGTCTTGTAATAAAGAAACAACCTCAGCTTAGATCCTTTTTTGGGTTTTTCTTTGTCTTTCCATTCAGATTTGTTTCAATATTTTTCTTTTTAGTTCTCATTTTAACGCCTTTGATTTTTGTTTCATGCAATAAGTTTATCCTTTTCTTTTTAATGGTGTAATAATCTGAGGATTTGGTAATGCTTTGGATTCTTCCCGATTTTTATTTTTATTTCGTCAATGGAATCTAAACTTTTGCCATTTCCATTTGCATGCAGCAGATTATTTTTTATGATTCTTATTTTTTTGCCCCAGTTTTGGTGTATCTGAGGACAGTAAATAACTGGGTCTGATTTGCTTCTTTGCTAGTTTTTTTATCAAGTTTTTTTCCCTTCTGCCTTTTGGGTTTTGTTTTTTTTCTAATGACTTTTGAATGTGGATCCTTTTGTAATTTTAGGGTTTTGTATTGTTTTTTTCATTGTTATGTTGGAAAAATTGTACTTTCTATTGGTTTTTGGAGGTGGGATTTGTTATATTAGGCTTTTGGGTATTTTAGTTTATTCAATACAGGGTTTGGTTTTGAGGAACTTTCAATGAGAGGGGAGTTTGTGGTCTGCCCTATGCATGTATGCATTTATTCTTGAAGTGAAATGTATTTGATCATTTCAGTTACTTTTAAGAGAAGTAGAGAATTATTTATTTTGTCTCCATATCTTGTTAGGTATATGAGAAAGATGTTTTCGGATCATTTAACTGATGAGAGTTGAAATGAATGGCTAAAATTTGGGGCTGACAGGTGATTGGTGAAGCTTTAGGTGTTCAGTTATTGTGGTGGGTTTCAGGTGGAATTTAGGACTGATATAGTCGTTTGTCTAGGAATTTATGTTTGGGAATTTGGAAAACTAGTGGCTTCAAGTAAAAGTACTTACATGGGAATTCAGACAATGGGGTCTCAAGGTGATAGTGGTAGTAATGGCAAACAGTCACAGTTTCAGCATTTAACATGGCAAAATTCGATGTATAGTCTTACGCTGGATGAGGTTCAAAATCAGTTGGGTGACTTGGGAAAACCTCTAAGTAGCATGAACCTAGATGAGCTTCTCAAGAATGTATGGACAGTGGAGGCTAACCAGACTTTTGGTATGGAAACTGAAGGCACAGCACTGACCAATCAAACTACTCTGCAGCGTCAGGCGAGTTTTTCATTAACTAGTTCTTTGAGCAAGAAGACAGTTGATGAGGTTTGGAGAGATATTCAACAAAGCAAAAATGATGGGGAAAAGAAATCTAGAGAAAGGCAGCCTACCCTTGGAGAAATGACATTGGAGGATTTTCTTGTGAAAGCAGGAGTTGTTGTTGAAGCGTCTACAGATAAAAAGGTGGTGCTTCTGTTGCTGGGGTTGATCTAAGTGTTGCACCGCAGTTTGCACAACAAGGTCAGTGGATGCAGTACCCACAATATCAGCATCCACAACAAGGCATAATGGGGGTTTATATGCCAGCCCAACCTATGCCACAGCCTTTAGCCATAGGGGCTACTGCTGTAATGGATGTCTCTTACCCAGAGAACCAGGTGCCATTGCCATCGCCTTTGATGGGAACATTATCAGATACACAGGCATCTGGAAGGAAAAGAGGTGCCCCTGAGGACATGGTTGAAAAAAATGTTGAAAGGAGACAGAAGAGGATGATAAAGAACAGGGAATCTGCTGCACGTTCACGAGCAAGGAAGCAGGTCAGCTTTCATTTGTTTTTATCTCTCAAATTTGATACTTGACAGTCATGCTGTTCCTTTTGCATTTCTTTAAAATGTTTTATGATTTGTTTTCTGAATTATCTAGTGACCTGAAAGATATTTATAAACAGGCTTATACTAATGAACTGGAGAACAAAGTTTCACGTCTAGAAGAGGAAAATGAGAGGCTGAGGAAACGAAAGGTTAGATCTGTCTTATATAGATACTTTCCTGATTCATTTACTTTCAATTGACCATCTTGAAACCCCTTTTATTTTTAAAGTAGAATAATTGCATTTTTTTTCAGTCTGTTCTCTGAAGAGAGGATAGACTTCATCTTACTCAAAAGTCAAAATTAATATTTTTGTGTTTGTGTTTCCTAATATCTATTTACTTTTGTCTTTAGATTGATAAACTGTATACGTTATGTCTATATGCTTTATTTAAGATTGAGACGTATATTATTGAACCATTTTAATGCATTAAGTACCTTCATGTCCACACCTCTTGCAAATGTGTACTTAACTCTTAGAACTTAAATATTCCCAATGATTGCTTTTCAGTCCATAATTTCCATTTTTCCATAATTGATGGATGATATTAAACACTCCAACAGCTTAGCAATCAAGCTTTTGGTCTCTGTATGTGATCTCAGTTGTATGATATTAATGGGATAACCTAGTGGTCTGCAGCTGTTCCTTGTACAGTTTAAATCATGATATTTATATTGTTCCCTTTTCTCAGAACCTAAATAGAAGAAAATATTTAGAGGAAACAGATATAAAAGTTTATTTAGCCTGAACTGAACTAAGATTCAGGTTCCTATTAAATCACAAAAACCCTGCTTTATGGAAACACTATCCTGCATTCCTTGCCATTACCCTATCATATAGCACCTGGCAACTGCAAAGTCTATGCATTGACCCTGTTGGTTGCTAGGTGCTATCTAAGGTCACTTCTCAACACCATTAAGTGTGCTTGACGTAGCCCTTTTCGTTTCTGATAAACCAGTTTGTGGTAGTAAAGCTAGGTTTTAACTGTTATTTATCTATATATCTTCATCTTCTTTTGTGTGTAATAATTATGTTGAAAACTTCTGATATAAAGCTTGTTTAGCAAATATCTTCCTTTCTGAAATATAAATTCCATTGCCAGTGAAAAGGAAGTGAAAATTTTAGTCAGTGCACTTGTTATCAAGAAATATAGTCACTTTCCCATGCTTGTTTTAAGATTGTTAAGGCATTCAACCTTAAACCAATATAAGGTTAGAACAATATCTAAAGTTAACTAAAGTGGTGTTCACCAACTAACACTCCCATTTAAGGCCCAAAACCAATAATTGAGACAAATAGGCCTATCATGTGGATTACTGAAATAAGGTAGCAAATACTAGCAAAAATGGGGCAATGAAGACTCTTGGCACCCTGAATATAAGCACCCAGCTAGCTGTAACTAAACTAATGTTGGATAAACTGCTTTTCTTATTTTGAATAAATATAAACTGCTTTATAGAGACCTTTATCATGATGCTTTAGGATGAACGTTTCTTCATAAAGTAGCTAGAGTGATGCTCATGGGAATTTTACCAAAAGATTGATAAATCTTGCTGCAGAACTTCTTCGGCATATTGTACAATATAAACCTTGCATGTTAAAGTAGTCAACTTAAAATTAAATAGCAATAGGTGGGGGAGCACCCTGAATGTAAGAGCCCAGCTAGCCATAACTAAACTAATGTGGGATAAACTGCTTTATAGAGACCTTTATCATGATGCTTTCGGATGAATCGTTTCTTCACAAATTAGCTAGAGAGATACTTAGTTGAATTTTACTGGAAGATTGATAAATCTTGCTGCAGGACAGCTTTCCATGTTGGAGAATATAAACATTTCTCTAACGAAGACATTTTGGACAATAAAATTGTCTGCAGTAGTTGTTTAGGATTTTGCCAGTTGTTTAGCTTTATTTGTTTTTTTGTTCTGTCTGCGAAGTTGTATTGGGAACTTTGACATCTCTAAAATGAGTTGTTTGTTTGGTTTAGTCCTCTAATTTGCATTGTTGTTGTTAGTGTGATCAATATAGTGCACAATTTTGTTTTATTAGTGCCTGATCTAGAGCTTCTAATCCTTGTTGAGAATGCTGTATTTCAGTATCCTAAATTCAGCTTGATGCATTCTTCAATTTAACTAGGGTTGTTGGTTTATGAGAATTCAAAGTTTGTTCTGGTCATTTGATTGGTCTAAAGTAGCGAACTACCATCATTGGGCCTTAATCCTACCTTTTGCTAAATCCTAATAACTGTGTTCTGTTTTCATTTTTCTAAATGTTGGGTACTTGTTAATTTTACAATAGCTGGAATTTGGCGATTTTGAGTCTAATGGATCTATTTTTTTGTTCTTTCTTTGATAGGGAGGATGAAAGAAGGAAGGATGAAAAAATTCTTTAATCTAATGGTTGGGATTCAAAACAACATGCTATTTTGTAGCTCATACTTTTAAACTTTTTCCTTCTTTTTTCCTCTCTATATTACTACCAAATGGAGTGTTAATGTTTCTCGGTTTTTCTCCTTCTTAATTTCCTATTTTGAATCTCGATTTTCAAGTCCATGCGAGATTAGGATACTTAGGAGTTCGGACCAAGGTTAGGGAACAAGTTTATCAGCAGCTGGTGTTATACATTTTTGGTTTCATATAAAGCAACCTAGCTGTGAACCATTTGAGACCGTAGTATGTCTAATGCTTTGTTTGAATTGAGGGGAAAAGAGGGAGACTGATGGCTCTGTCTGGAAACCATTCAATGGAAAGGGAGTGGTAGGGAGGGTATGTGAAGCCCACCAAAACACTTCAAACCTTTGGTTCTACTAACCCATCAATATCCTACACAAATCCCTCAACCTTGAATTCCTCCTACAAACTGTTATCCTACTCAAATCAATTTACCAACAGACTAAACCTGCGATCTTTAATTTACTGTGCAATATACTAGAAACAGCTGCAGACAGCAACCAAATTTGTTAATTTGTTTTCGTGCTTTCAGCCCTCAAATTTCGAACTTCCCCTTCTTAAATCCACTGCCAAGCCCATATTTTCGTTTCTCATCCAATTAAGCCTGGAACCATACTGCACTCTGTACAACCAACTTTACTTTGATTTGAGTTACCCCACTCCCTGCCAGCTGTGCCATTGCAATTTCACATGCACCCTGGAAATATAAAAACATTGAAAACTACAATTTCCATCAATTGTGGAAACTGCTTTCGTTTCCTGGGGGATTTTGGCTTAATATATGCCTTTGTTAATGGATAAAAAGATGAATTGTTGGTATGCCTTGTTCATCTCTTTCATTCTTGTTACACAATTTTCCTGCCTAAGCTCTCCCCATTTAACTTGCATTGTAAATTGGCCCAAGCAACTGAATGATTAGAATTTCAAGTTTCAGTGATCTTGTAATATATATATATATATATTCATATTTTTTTGATGAGTGAACGAACAAAAGCACTAAGGAGGCACCTCCAGGGTGCCAATGTAATACAAGGCTATGGGTGAGTGTCGGATATGGGTTCTGTCTGACACAGATATGTTCAATTTTTTCAAAAGTTTTTCCATATATTTGGAGGGTTGGACCTCCATTCCCATGTGCACCTTATGTGTGCCGAACAGAAGTACTTCAAGGAAAATGAATTGTCAAAGCAAAATAGCTTGCAAATCTTGCTCATTTTAGGATTTATTGATAATTAGCCTCAACAATGCTCTATTGTTCTGCATTATTTGGACATTGTAGTGTGCTCTGGATCTTAGCAGGTTTGAGGGATAGGGTACCCAGATTTTATTATCTGCCTTCATGTATACCATACTGTCTTGCATATCATTTTATAAACTCTGTCCAGCAATTAAATAAATAAAGAAAATAGAAGCTGACCACAAATTGGCATGGAGGTCAAGTTACGTTTTGTGGAATTATATGCTTTCTGATGCTAATGATGCTCGATCAGATACAAGATTTTTCCTCGTTTTATTGGTCACCACAATTTCTTTTTTTGATACTATGTCGTCTTGTTTGGTCATCATTGTAAGACATAGCTTTCCTATCACTTCTTACCTTGGTTGGGGAGTAGGACAAGAAGAAATGATATTGAAGACATTTTTGGTCAATTAAAGACTGAAGGTGTTTGATGCATCTTTGTACATTCCAAAATCTTTCTCCTTCAATTGACGTTTGCTTCTGCATTTAGTTTTCGTTCATGGTCATACACAAATCTTTATATATTCGAAATTCTTTTCTTCTTTTTATTCATTTGTGGTTTCTTATTTTATATTCATAGGAGCTGGAGAAGATGCTGCCTTCTGCACCACCTCCTGAGCCAAAATATCAGCTTCGTAGAACGTCATCAGCCCCATTCTAACAATCGCCTACTGGCTAGTGTGAGAGTTTTGCATATACCGTGAGCTTCTGGCTTCTGTTTCTGGTTTCAATTGAGGCATAAGCTAAGTGACCAAAACAATCTGCATCTTCTAGAGGCAGCTGTTGTTTCATATGCTGCTGACGGTTGCTTCTTCCTTCTGAGAGGTTTTTCATGTATCTACTTTTTACAGTGAAGTCAATTCAAGTAGAAATATTCATGTTACCATTTGTACTTTCTAAACATTGTGTGTTAAGATAGTAAGATTTGTCCCTAAATGTGTAGTTTTGAGCGTTTTTTACCTCTTGATATGAGCATTTCGCCATTTTAGTGAAGTTTATAATACAACAAAACACACGCATACAAACATAAATTTTACATTGTTTGGTTTGAACATGAATTTGAAAGAATAATTTTGAGTTTGATTTGTCATACAAATAGTAATTGGATGTGGATATTTGATTTTAGCATGAATTGGAAAGGATAATGAAAGCGTTTGATGCAAAAAGCATTAGAGGTGAACATAAACATACGGCTGTGAGTATGATCATTATTCCTGAGTCCGTTCATACTAATGATTTAAGTATTGGTTAAACTATTAGAATACAAGTACGGGTTAAACGGTTAGAATATTAGATGAATAGTTCGTGCAAATGTTTTCGGTTTTTGTTACAGATAATTTTATGAATATGTTTGATTTTTATTTGTTTATTAAGTTTAATAAAATAATCACAAATAACATTTAAAATTTATTAATTAAACGAATAATAAATTTTGTTAGGGCGTTTGGTTCATTTGGGCAAATTAATAGAGCATTTTACAAATAGTTTATGAATAAATTTGATTTTATGAATAGTTTCGATTTTTGTTCATTAACATTTATTTATTAAACTTAACAAATGATTATAAATCACATTTTATGATTCGGTAATAAAACAAGTAGATCACAAAAATAACAATTTGAATGTAAATTTAAACGAGAAAGGAGACCAACAAATTTTCTTTGTTTCTCCACCACATTCAAATGCATGCTCTACTCAACCCCCGATAAAAACAAAAAACAAAAAGAAAGCCTTATTCACAAAACCAATGGATCGAATTTCACAAGACTAAGATGAATTTAACAAAAACAGGGGTCCTTAAATGCAATTTTCTGAATAAAATACATAAAAAAAGTATTGAGAATGTTGAGAGCAAAATCCACTCAACCTTGAGATTTCAAACATGGCCGCAACTTCCTCTTACATGGCTTGCACTAAATTCTCCACGTTGAGGAAAGACAGATTTGAGGAAGAGAAGGGTAGTTTCAGTTTCAGCTCAGCGGCAAGCTAAAGTAGGTGATGCACAAGAAACACAAGATGCAAAAGTGCAAGAAGAGTAAGAAAAGGTGAAGCCACAACCTACACAACCAAGGCCAGTGAAACCACAACCCAATGTGAAGAGCAAAAACATGACACAGAATATGGAGGGCAGTGGCTCAGTGGCGTCACACAGCATGTCAGAATCTATGCTGCCTACATTGATCGGAGACCTCTGACCTCGATCAAACACAAACGGATAAACTCACCCTTATACTTGACCCCGCTGATGAGTTCATCTGGACTCCTGAAACTTGCACCAAAGTTTTATTCATACTTCCAAGAGCTTGTGGATCACTATGAGGTAACCCACTTTTCTTTTTAATGTTCTGATTGAGTTCTGTAAATGCTAAATAGAAACTATTAAGTATTGGCATTGCATTCAAGTCAGTCAAGATCAGGAAGCTACCATATGATGGAGAAATTAAATACAACATGAATGCCAAGGTACTGAACTTCAGCATGGGGAAGCCCCGCATTCTATTGAATAACAATGATGGCCAGTTTCAAGATGTACATTGATATGATTCTCACAAAATGGCTAGCAAAAGAGCATAGAAAGATGGCCACATATTTAGTATCAGTTTAAAAAGCATCACAATTCACAATGTTGCATCAAGATTAAAATCTTTGGCCACCAAAACTTAAAATCTTCAGCAGAGAAACTTGATACATACATTCATTACCTGTCAAAATCTTTGCAAGTGAGGTCTTATACATGTGTGCCCAATGCTACAGCTGCATCTGTCAACATTTGCTTTATAATATTTAGATATATTGATCTCAACTCAGAAAAAATCTCTGGTCATCCCAAAGCATTCAAATATAATGCGTCCAACCAAGGCTGAAATGCACCTTCATGAGCAGTATTCTGACAAAATATTCACAGCTATACATTTAGAAGATTTGCTCAAAAAGAGAAAACACTAGTTTATTCCATTCGCACCAAGCAGCCATTTGAGACATAGGTGTCATAATCTCTGCTAGGATACACCAATGATATAAAACACTCACCTTCAACCAAAAGAAAAATCCACGTAAGAGAAATAAAATTTTACGTCGATCATGCCTGAATTCATCAATTTTCATTCCTAGTTCTGCAAAAATAACAAAATGAACATTAAAGCTAACATTGTTTGAGAATTTCATTTAAACTGTATGAAGCCTGAATTAAATACTGAAACTACAGAAGGAAACAGTTAACAAGCTCAATAAGTTCTGCTCAACAAAAACTATGGAACCAAAGCAAAATAATCTTACAAAATCTGAAGGGAAAAAGAAAAGGTAGGAAGAACCACTCAAATCACTTGCAAAAACAATCTCTTTGATGAGAACTGCATTTTGAGGAATACCAGATAGCAATCTTATTAAAGTAAACATAAAATTGTATTACAAGCAAGTGGAATAACAAAAAAAAAAAAAAAAAAACAGAGTGAGGAGAATAGAGTTTATGGAACATAATTTGAGAGTCCAGGAATCATCTAGCACAGAGTAACATTACTAAACCAGGACACGACATACCCATTTTAGAAAAGTAATAGGATAAAAATTTGGGCATCAGTCTTTGTTTGTGAGATTTTGTTTCTTGTGTGGAAAAAAGTCATAGGATCATTTTGATAGAACTGCACTACCTATAACAAATTCTTCAGGCAAGTGGCAACAACCTCAGTTACTAATGTACATAATAAACATAATTTACATTTTTATAATAAAAAAACACATCAACAAATTTGGAGAAAACAAAGTTACCTTTGTACCAATCAAGGTATGATTTTCCGTTAGTTTTGGTTGAATATGATTTCATTCGTCCATAACGTAACACTTTAGCACCCTGAACAGGTTTTCTGCAAGTTACTTCTCGCCAAAGATTTTCAAACTCATTTGGGTCACAAGGATTTTTAAGAAGATCCATAAGCTTCTCCCTAAATTGAGACTGACTAGAAGTTCTGATGCCATCCCAACTCTCTTCACCATCCTTTTTTTATTGTTTTTTGCAATAAGCACATAGAACCAGAAAAGAACAGTAAAAGAATCAGCACATACAAAATTGAAGAAAAAAATTGTAACAGAAAACCCTTCCAAGAACCTCCAGATGGGGTTAGAACCTACAAAAATTGTCTTGGCCTAGATGTTTGTCCTATTAAGTTTGTTGTAGGTTTCCCCCCTTTAGAATAAAAAAAAAGGAAAAAAAAAAGAAAAAGAACAGATGCAATATAGAGTTGCAAAGAAAATATGTATACCAATGATTGATAGCATTTTGATGGTACAAACGGTGTATAATTTCCTTCATGAAAAGGAATGTTATCCACCGCAAGTATCTCCAAATCAGAACTTTCATCATCATTCCCATGTATATTTGTGTCATCACTTTCATTGAATCCAGAATCCAGAAACACTTGAAAACTTTCATCTATCATATCACAATTCATCTTCTTAGAAGGTGCTCTACTTGATTTACAACGAACAGCTTCCCCATTTACTTTGCTCTCATCAACTGGACTCTTTCTTACTCTATTCTTACTTCTCTCAGTTCCAATCTCCAAAGATTTATTCGCAGATCTAGGCGTCTTAGTCTTTGCTCTCCTCAAAAAACCACCCAAATTCTGACGAACCCCAGCCTTTCCTTTTCTCCAATCATTCTTTAGATTTCTCTTTCTTTCCCCATTCTGAAATGGCCCTTCTTCCTGTTCTTCGTTACTGATTATTTCCCAGGCACCAGAAGTAGATGGAAGTTCAATTGAGAATAATTCCTGTATCCCATCCTCTTCTAAATTCTCCATAAAGATATCATAGTCAGGTTCTAAACTACTGAAAAACCTTTCATAATCCGAATCTATCATATCTTCTTCCATGTCAGTTTCATTCAAATATTTGTTAATACTGCATTTTTTCTTCAAAGCCCTATCAAACCTTAAATCCTGCAACACATCAGCTACTTCCTCATGAAATTTAACATTCTTTACTTTCCCCATTAAAACGAAACAAAATTATCGATCCTACTGTTCCTGCGTATTAAAAACCAAAAAATAAAACCATAACTCAGTCAAATATCAGCCTCAATCCAGATCAAGAAGATATTATTTTGTTTTAAACAATAACAATCTTTTAAAGTTTAAATTTCTTACAATACTTTGGAGAACTTTGAAGAAAGTGATATTGCTTCAAACTACAAATAAAACACCCATCGATGACCACTCCACCCTCTGATATTTAAAATTGAGGAAGCTAAATATCCTCTATAACTTTCCAGATGAGAGGGTGAGGCGTTGCTTTTCTACTGCTGCCGTGGCTACTCTCTTGGATTAGGGAAGAAAACAAGAGATGCGTAGGCTGGGGGAAACTTGGAAGAGGGCAAAATTGGATTGGGGAGGATGAAGAGAATATTCGGGTTCATTTTGATTTTAATAAAAAGAAATGACTGAGGACTTGAAAGGAAAGTGCGGAGTTCTGAGATAAAGAGGGGCGTGAGTTTTGCTCGAGAGAAAAGCTTGGAGCATTATGAGAGATTTGTTGACACTAGAAGAGTGACCGGTTGACCGCGTTACAATTTTTTATTTTGGTGAAATATAAATTATAAAATAAAATATTTTTATTTTTTTATATTTTTTGAAAACTATAATCTTTTGAAATAAATAAAAAAAACAGATCTTTGAATTATGTTATTCGATTGTAATTGAACAGGTATCAACTCATAATTAGAGTGACAACCGAATTACATAATTATTAAAATGTCCATCACTTGACATACAATTAATATTAAGTGGCACTTGTGAAAAAAATTAAATCTAAAAAAATTTTTATTAAATATTTTAAAAAATTTAAATTTGAGAAAAATAAAAAATTAAAAAAGGAAAACACAAAAAAAAATTTATATAAGCGGGTCTCACATATAAAAAAAATACTAATAATAATAATTTTATAATTTTTAAAAGTATTTATTAAGTAATTTTTAAGGAAAATAAGAAAAAAATTAAAAAAATGAAACACGATGCAAAATGAAACAGGATTGTAAATCATACATCATGCAAGTGCTTTGTGAAAAAAACAAATCTTAATTACTTTTTTTATTTAAAACAACGAAAAATCGAAAAGGGTAAAAAAAAAAAGCAAAAAAAGAAAATTTAATATAAATGAGTTCTAAGCTTAATAAAAGTAAAATCTTTACAAATATATATTTTTAAAATAATTTTTTTAAAAATTTATTATTTAAAAAAAAAAGAAAAGAAAAAAAAAGAGGGTTAATTAAGGCATGACATGTGACATAACAAGATATAAGTTATAAAAAAATTTATTATTTTTTAAAGGAAAAGGTCAAAAAAAAAAACTAAAAAAAGGAAGGAAATTATGCCACGTGGTATAATGTGGTGAGGCAGAGAGGTACATTTACAACTTTAATTATGTAGATAGATGGATAGGGATACTTGGTGGGGTTTGGTTATGGGTTTAATCAAATTGCTTTTTTTTTTTCTTCTTTTTAGCTTCAAAATTAAAATATAAGAAAATTTAAAAATTATTTCAGAGTTAAATTTATATGATTTAAACAGAGAAATTTGGGGAAAGATTTGATGGAATTTAGAAAATTATTTTATAATTTAGATGAAGAAGAATTAATTTTAAATGATTAATATATTGATTTTATTATTTATCTCAAAATTTTTTATTTTAATTAAAAAAATATGAAATATCATAAATTAATTTAAAAACCAAAATTTATTATTATAATTATAATAATTATTATATTTCATAATAAGTTATATAAAATTAAAAATAAAATTCACAATCATATTAACTATTATAATTATGATGATTTATATTATATTTTCAATCACAATAAATATGATGTAATAAAAAATATGTCAACGACCGTAATTTAAATTTTTGAGAAAGAGTTAATCGAGATAATTTTTGATTTAAGAATAAAAATACAAGAACAGTTATTATAATGTGGCTTAAATTTCTTTTTACTACATTTTCTCGAGAAAACAGAGGAGCTTACCATAAAATCCAAAATTAAGCGAGAGTCGGAGAGTCAAGGTTTTCTTTTTCCCGTTTTCCTTGAGCATAGCTGCTGAGTTTTTTTTTTTTTTTCATTTTATAGAGATAGCTGAGTTGAGAAAGAATTGGGCTAGGTTTTATGTTAAAAAAAAAAAACCATTTGAACAAAAAATTGGGCTTTACTCATTGATCTCAAATTTCATCTCACCCATTTTAAACTATATAATAAATAAAGAAAAAGATGCTAAAAATGAAATGAAAAGGTTTTTGAAGGACTGAGAATGTTTTTTGAGGTTGGGAAGCATATGCTGACAATTTTTTTTTCTTTTTAAAACTTATCAAAGCTTGGATTCTTGTTCTTTTTTCAAGTAACAAAAGCTTACATTTTTTATTGTCCGCCACCTTTTTTTTTTTTTTTATTTACCAACTTTTTTATTCCTCCAACAATAGTACAAAACAAAAAGGTTTCTATAGTGAAGAAGGTTGTTGACTACAATACGATCGATCAATTTCAGCCACAAATATGGTGGTTATATGCATAGCCATTGGATTTGAAGTTGAGTTGAGGTAAAAACTATTACTGGTGATCGGGAACAAGATAGGACTGAATAAACAGTCTCTTCGATTAATTTAATTGTAAAAATAAAAAATTAATTTAATTAATTTGATTTTTAAAAAAATTAAATTAACTTAAATATAACATAAAATCGAAAAAAAAAATGATTTAATCTAATCGATTTCATTTTTTTTTTGATATAATTGATTATGATATATTATTTTTTGTGTTAAACATTTAATGTAATTCATATAATTCTTATAACAACTTTAAATTAATGAGCAATACTTAAAAGAAAAGTTTCACAAATAACAATGGTTTTTGGCTTTTCCATCAACTTTAAATGAGACACCTTAAGGCTTTTTTTGCACATAGTTTCAACCATTTTCGACCACTACTTTTGACATCTAGTACATGCCAAGCTTGGTGACATCTACTACACAGTTTCAACCACTACTTTTGATAATCTCACCAATTATACTACAGTGAAACACATGAACCTGCTCTAGATAAAAAAAAAAAAAATGCTGATTGGTAACAAAGTGGTATTTTCTTTGTTCTGCAAGTGCCCTTCAAAAGCCCAATTGGAGAATTGAACTGAATATTTTATTAGCTATGTATGGTAATCCAACAACAATGTTTGGAGTGCAAGAGAAAAAATCCCACAAATTACAGAAGTAAAAATGCTTCATAGAATTTCTGACTTAATAAAAGTTTCATGCTTTCTATAGAATAAGCCCAAACAAAAGGAAATAAAACAGAACAGCCCAAACAAAGACTCAGAGAGCCATACGATCTTTCATAACATGTTGAAAGCATGGGTAAATGGAAAATGCCTATAATAGAAATCCCAAAAAAGAAAGGATTTTACCTTGAGTTAAGTTGAGTTGTAGAAAAGAGAAGAAGATCGAGAAGGAAATTCCATAAAGAAAGCAAATGAAGAATAGTTGTGAAACGACAGAGGAGATCATGCGGATAAAGGTGAGGTCTAGTATAAATGGTTGTTAGCGGTCATTGATTGAGACTTGTTACATTGAGATCAAGCAGGAAATGGTAATGGCGATGTGTGAGGGTAACTGGGTGAGGAAGGGTCGGTCCGAGAGAGCAAGAGTAAAAAGAAGAAATAGGGTTTTTAGATCAATTTTGTATAAAAAGTAAAAGAATATAATTGAAAAAACTATATTAATTAAAATATAAAATTTTAATAATATTTTGTCAAGTATTTTGGTCAGTTTGGTTTTGGAATCTTAACACCAAAAATCGACCGAATAAATCAATTAAACTAAGACACAAACTGATTTAATCTATTTAATAGAAAAAATTGAAACTGATTTAACATATGGGTCGATTTTTTCCTATTCATGGTTTTATACACAAATCTTTATATATTCGAAATTGTTCATGGTTTCATACATGAATCTTTATATATTCAAGATTTTAATCTTCTTTTTATTCATTTGTGATTTCTTATTTTATATTCATAGGAGCTGGAAAAGATGCTACTTTCTGCACCACCTCCTAAGCCAAAATATCAGCTTCGTAGATCGCCATCGACCCGATTCTAACAATCGCCTATTGACTAGTGTGAAAGTTTTACATATAGCATGAGCTTTTGGCTTTCGTTTTTGGTTTCAATTAAGGCATAAGTTAAGTGAGCACCACAATTTGCATCTTCCAGAGGCAGCTGTTGTTTCATATACTGGTGATGGTTGCTTCTCCCTTCTAAAAGGTTTTTCATATATCTACTTTTTTACATTGAAATCAATTCAACTAGAAATTTTCATGTTACCATTTGTCCTTCTAAACATTGTGTGTTAAGATAGTAAGATTTGTCCCTAAATGTGTAGTTTTGAGCTTTTTTTACCTCTCAATATGAGCATTTTGCCATTTTAGTGAAGTTTATAATACAATAAAACACATGCACATGCATACATACATATGTTTGGTTCATTTTAAACATGAATTTTAACAAATTTTAGATTGTTTGGTTTGAACATGAATTTGAAAGAATAATTTTGAGTTTGATTTGTCATACAAATTGTAATTGGACGTGGGTATTTGATTTGAACATGAATTAGAAAGAATAATGAAAGGATTTGATGCAAAAAGCATTAGAGGTGAACATAAATATACGGCTTTGAGCATGATCATGATTCATGAGTCTGTTTTATATGTATGATTTAAGTATGAGTTAAACAATTGGAATGTTAGATGAATAGTTCGTGCACATATTCGATTTTTATTACGAATAGTTTGTGAACATGTTCGATTTCTATTTATTTATTAAGCTTAATAAAACGATTACAAATAATATTTTAAGATTCATTAATTAAACGAATAGTAAAGTTTGTTAATGATTAGTTCAATTATGAAAATTAATAAAGCATTCTACAAATAGTTTGTGAACAAGTTTGATTTTGTGAATTCATTTATTAAACTTAACAAATGATTATAAACCACATTTTATGATTCGTTAATGAAACGAGTAGGTCACAAAAATAACAAATTTCTTTCATATTCAGTTCATTTTCACCTTTACATGTAAGTCACACAATTAGAAATCTATTTTTTTTTTCAAATTAAAGTTTTCAATCTCATTAATATTTAGCAAAAATAATAAAGATTAAATAAAAATATCATTTAAAAAAAAACTTATTTGGGTAGGCTTGAACTTAATCATTTATAAGTTTGAATATGCTTAAGCAAAAATTAAGACTCGAATTGTTGGTTTGAGCTATGTTTAGGTAAATATATAAAGTGTTGATACATATCTAGGTATTATGCAAATCTGATCCAACTCAAATCATGAACATTAAACACTTCAAATGATTAGGCTCAAACAAATTTTAAAAATATCTTGCTCATATTAGAAAAATATCATTTGTACTTGTATATTAAAAGAATCTCATTAAGTTTTAATGGTTGACACATGTTTAATTTTATAAGTTGGATCAATAATTGA